AGTTAGTTTACTGGCAGAACTTGAACTAAGTGCAAACAGAATGTGGAAAAAGACACTAAAAAGGCCACCAACATGATAGATTTGGCTTATATCAGCCTTGTGAATTGCAGTTCAGTCAGAGAAACACCAAATTTCGTGACAGATTGAATGAAATTTTGTGACTGAAATTTGTGAATGAAATTTGGTGAGTTGCCTGGAAAAATAAGTTATGTTCTGGTGGCTGGGGGACAGTAAAAGTCTGATTTGTTAATATTTTGATTTTTAAAAAGTGTTAGGCAAGTCTTCTAGTTGTGAAAAGAAGGCAGAAATGTCAGCTGCCTTCAAAACCACAATGCCATCTTCAGTGTTACTTACTTGGGCTATTGCCATATTGTCTACTTGTAATTTTATTATCAAAATTAAATGGGGGGATCCTGTCTTAATGACAGATTTTGTTCTGCCAGAAGTGGCCTCATCAGTCAGTGGCAGATTTTCAATATTTATATCCTGCTTAAATTAGACTTTTTTTTTTTTTTTTTAATATAAAGTGTGTTCTGCAGGGGGGAAACAGAAGTTTTTAAGTTTTACATGATAACTGATAAGGATGTAATTTATAATCTCTCTATATTTTTTTGTATACAGTAAGGAAATGTTTGCAAAAATGGAAATCATTGGCCAGTTCAATTTAGGGTTTATAATAACAAAGTTGAATTCTGATCTTTTCATAATTGACCAACATGCTACTGATGAGAAATACAACTTCGAGATGTTGCAACAACACACTGTTCTCCAGCCTCAGAAGCTGATAGTGTAAGTATTTTCAGTGTTTTGACAATAACAGGTTTTAAATTCATCATTTCAGAAAGATATTTATGATTTATATTAATGTAGCATTTCACACATTCAGAACACTTGAGACTAAAGTGGTTTTTGTGTTCTGTGTTTCAAAGGGTCAATACTCATATGAAACATAAATTCCATGGATGCATTTGTAGCTATGCAGCAAGTCAGTGGTCAGACAGACTTCCCAGTGGGCTTTCCTAGCAGCCCACAGTTTGGTAGGATATTGGAGACTGTTCCTGCAACAAGGAATGCTGCCCAGCTGACTTCATTCTGCTGAGTGACACTTGGAAGTAACTGTTTAGTAATGAGTTTTTTTTAACAAAGCAGAGTGAAAAGTTTTACTACAGAGCTCTCTATGAAGTATTTCTAGGTTTCTGAAATCTGTCTTAAGTGCTCTGCACTGTGTATCTATGCAATACCATTTTTCTCTCTCTTTCAGGCCTCAAAATCTCAATTTAACAGCAGTAAATGAAACTATATTGATTGAAAACCTGGAAATATTCAGAAAAAATGGCTTTGATTTTGTCATAAATGAAGATGGTGAGTTTGGACCAGAATTGCTGGAAGTAAAAGAGTTCAAAGGTCTAACTTTATTATGCAAAAATTCCCTTGGATGTTATCAGAAGCTTTGAAATAGGATGCATTATTGTATGTAGGATGTTTGTTTTTTAAGGCTTATGATTCTGTGGTCTCTGCATGATTTAACAGAACTCTGTAAATTATTTATCTCACCAGCTTTTTACAGAAGTTTTTGAAGACTGGAGTTACTCTTTGGCTACATGACTGGATGTGCATTTTCTGGATATGTTACATTAAAATCCTTCTGTTTTATTAGTACTGATTTTCTTTGGTTTTCCTTATGGCTTTAGTAATGACTTGCTTTGTTCTTTCAAACAAATTCTGTAACCTGCAAGCTCCTTATTGTTTCTCTTATATAGTGAGGATAATGAAAATGCAGTGTGGTACCACTTTGCTGTTTGGGAAGTCACTACACATTTTTTCCATAGTCTTAATTCCAAAATATCCCAGGGTTTCTTTGGTCTAAAATGCTATTAATTATCAATCTCTTACCATCATTAATCCTGAGTGATTTTGTAGTCACATAAACTCAAAAAAGTTTCATAAACCCTTTGTTCTTTGGAATTGATGGGTTTGTTAGAAAGAAGATCTTCCTACTTTTAAGTTTGCAAACAACTTTTTAATTGATGTTAAAAGAACATCTGCCTGACACAGTTACCCCTTCATCATCAAATCATCAAAAGATTAAATGTAAACATTATTGTTTAGACACAGCACATCATATTAACTTTTTGAAGTAGTTTCTCATTTTGTCTCAAGTAATTTCCTATATTTTTCTTTTTCTTTATTATCATTGCAAACCTTCCAGCTCCTGTAACTCAAAGAGTTAAATTGGTATCGTTGCCAACAAGCAAGAACTGGACTTTTGGTCCACAAGATATAGATGAGCTGATCTTCATGTTGAGTGACTGCCCTGGAGTGATGTGCAGGCCCTCGAGGGTCAGACAGATGTTTGCTTCTCAAGCTTGCAGGAAGTCTGTAAGTGCTGCACTTGATGTTTGTGTTCAAATAAATCAAACCACGTTTCCTCATGCAGTACAGTGGCCCTATCTGTATGTGTATTGCAGAGCAAGTTTATTTACTGCTGAGTGTCAGCAGCTAATATCCTTCCTTCTGTTCCCCATGTTTTTATCTAACTTGGGAAGTATTTCCGCTACTTTTTCATTTTGTTCCAAACTAATGCGCTCATGAACACCATGTTAGCTGGATTTTGTCTTCTGATTGTCTGGGAGGTGTTTTTTACTTTTAATGCTTTGCACAGAATTTATTTACTATAGTAGCTGAAGTACTGCTCTGATTTGTGTCACCTGGCAAATAGAAAAAGGAAATAATTATTTTTTTTCCTTTGCTTGCAGGTGATGATTGGAACTGCACTGAATGTGCAGGAAATGAGAAAGCTGATCACCCATATGGGTGAGATTGAGCATCCCTGGAACTGCCCCCATGGAAGGCCTACTATGAGACACATAGTCAGTTTAGACCTGATTTCATCAGAATAAGTCAGTGTCTGTTTATTAACATTTTAAATTGTAATTATTGGCAATATTTTGAGCTTTTATTGTGACTCTCTTATTTTGAGTAAAAAAATTTTAGGCAGTCTTCAAAGTTGGAAACGAGCACTTGAAGGCATTCAGCAGGGTTTCCTTGTTATTCCTGTTGAGTCATCAATACCAACATCCTGGAATTTATGTAATAACTGCTCTCTTATTGTAATTTATTGTGTGTTGTACTTCTTTGAGCAGCAGTCAAAACTTTTATAAAATAAATATGTTTATATATAAAGATCAGGAGTAGGTGAACTTAATTTATAACAAACACACTGCTGTTGCAAATGAAATGGAATGTGAATTTAAGTCACTAGCAATGCCATGAAAGAAATACTAGTTTTCTGTGTTTATACATCATGGATATGATAATTTTAAAGAGAAGGAAAATGATACACAAATATTTTTTTTTCTTATACCAAAGCTGGATTTCATTAGATAGTGACTTAGAGCTTTAATATTGCATTTAATGGTTCATTTCCTGTTATCTGTGTTTAAGGCTTGAATAGAATAATTAGTCTGGCATCATTACTTTTAATTAGTATTGTTCCCTTCCACATTCTCAGCTAGTTTTTCAAGAACAGAGATTCTTTTTCTGATAGTGAATGGGAAAAACAACTGTCTCACCAGGCACGGCCAGTACAATCAAAACAGGTAGAAAATGATCTTTTTGAATCAGAAACCATTCAAACAGGTAGCTACGCACTTCCAGTTCTGTAGGACCAAGATTTGACCCAAGAAATCTGTGTTTACGGGTTATGTTCCGTTCACACTCCATTTGCCGCTGACGGAGCTGTGGCCGTGATGCTGCTGTTCCTCCAGCGCTCAAAGCCGCCCGCGCCGCTTCTCGGAGCAGCGTGGCAGAGCGTGCCCATGGTACCCGCACGGCTGCGGCCGAGAACCTTCAGCACATTGCGTGTGTTCGTGCGGAGCCGCGATTTCGCACCCCGGCTCTGCGGGCGTGAACGGCGGCGCGGCCGGGCCCGGGCACCGCGGCGGCGTTGTTATGGCTACGGCAGCGCCGCCGCACTGCGCCTGCGCGGGGACGGGGGCTCGGCCCGGCCCCGCTGCCCCTCGGTAAAGGCTCGGTAAGGGCTGGGCTCCGCTGTCCCTCGGTCAGGGCTCAGTAAGGGCTCGGGACCGGCCCGGCCGCCCCTCAGCAAGGGCTCGGCCCCACTCCGGCTCCCCCGCCCTTCGGTAAGGGCTCGGTTAGGGTTCTGCCCCGCCGCCCCTCAGCCGGGGCTCGGTAAGGGCGCGGCCCCGACCCGACCCTATCGCCCCTCAGCCGGGGCTCGGTAAGGGCCGGGCCCCGCCGCCCTTCAGCCGTTCCTCGGGAAGGGTTCAGCACCTTCACGGCCTTCCCCGTCGTCCCCGCCCGGCTGCGGGGCTGATTGAGGCTGTCCTTGCCAGCCCTCGCCGCTGCGGCACTCGCGGGTTGGGTTCTTGCACTACCAAATGGTCATACCCTGCCGTGGTAGCGTTGCATCTGTGCAGGCAGTCCTGGAGCCTTCCGGTAGCTCTCAACTGGCAAAATAACAGGATTTGTTGGTTGCGCTGTGCTGTGGTTCAGTCTGCAACTCATAACTTGTAAAGCAAGTTAAATCAATAATAGCAGTGCAGGTGGAACTTCCCAGAATTTTCCAAACACGTATTTTTGAGAAATGGCTTTCAACTTTTCCACGTAATTAAATCTAATAGACAGCTAAAAATCGGGTAAAGATAGAGATCTCTGAGCAGCAAAAGTAAGACTACTGACAACACTTCCATCACAGTGGTTTTGGTGGAAGACTTGGAGATAATTCACAGACATTGCTCCCTGTTAACCTTGTGGCCTGCGTGCCACAAGCTGACACCACTGACTTGAGGAATTGCTGTTACAGAGATTACTTCAATACATGCACGTGTAATAATAATAGAAATACTGTTGGTTTGGGGTTTTGGTTTTTTTTTGGTAGTTGTCCCATGTTTTGGGTTTTTTAACTAGTTTATAGGGTAAGACAGAAATAAATTTTCATTTTTCAGAAGAAAAGTACACATTGAGACAATTCAGCAGCTATGATAAAAGGCAAGAAGAAAGATGTCAAGAAGAAAGATTCCAAGAAAGATGGTAAGAAGGCAGCTAGTGAGAAGTCAGAAGGATCTCTAGGTGCTACAGTTGAGAGTAGCTTAACAACACTGCCAGATGTGCAGAATGAGTCAGTGAGTGAAGAAACTCAGGCAATTCCAGAGACACCAGATAAAGAGCCAAGGGTAGAGGAGCCACCAGTCCAGCCTGTTCCCCCGATCCACGAGGAGCCTGTTCTTGCTCAAGTGATCATAAAAAGGTATACTTGTTACAAATACAGCAGTGAAGTCAAGAACTCTCATTGAAGTATCTCTGCTAAAGCCAGTGTTATAACAACAGAGATTTGACTCTTGATTTGAAGCAGAGAATCAGGTTATTCAGACCTAATAGCAGTGGCACCTTAGGAGATGTACAAGTGGAATTCTGCCTTCTTGCATCCTAGAGTGCTGCTGGTGGTCTGCCTGCCAAAATTCTAATTCTTTTAGCTTGTTCACCTTCAGTGAAGTTTTGTTAAAGTTTACAGACAGCTGGTGAAGAAAATATATCATGTAATCTTTAGTTGTTGCTGCCTTTTAATGCTTAAGGCTCATATCTCTTCAGAATATCCTAAACTGAGGAAGCCGGTGAATGGCAATGTTAACAAAATCCTTTTGTATTTAAATGTAATGTTTATATGTAGTATTTCATATACCAGCATGCCTGACTGTAAGGTAGAAAATGCTACCAATGTGGGTTTTTTCTTGATTGAAAGAAATATGGGTCTGAGGCAACTCAAAAATTATGTGGAATATTACAAGGAAGGTTCAGAAAATTGGGAATTTTCTTGCTCATTATTCTACACAAGATGCAACGGCTGACCTGTGTGAATCAAAGGTCATTTATGATCACTTATGTGATAGTTTGTGTGAATATATGGTCATTTATTTGATATAGATCTATTGGGAGTGACTTGAAATCTTCCTCTTTGTTTGTTTTCTTTGTAGCTATGAAGGTGAACAAGTTGATGAATTCTTTGAGGGCGAAGGATTTATATGTTTTGAGGGAGGAAATACATACAAGGTGGGTGTATAAATTTTTTAAAAAGTAGCGGACTAAGTTCTCTCTCAAGCGCTGAGAAGCATTGAAAGCTCTGTTAGTTTCTGGCATTAAAACTCTTGATTTGAAACTAGTAATTGGAGGGGAATTAACTTGTCAGTCTTTTAAAATCTTAGAGTCACTGTGGACTTCAGCTGGGGTAAGAATAAATCTGCAAATGATGCTATTCTCTTCATTTTGAAGGGTCTGTTTTCTGAAGGGCGTATGGATGGAGAAGGGACTTACACATGGGCTGATGGAGTAAAGTATGAGGTAAAGTACAGTTTAAGTTATAAGTGAACACATTTGCACCCAGTTAGATGAGCAAATTGAAGGAAAGTAGATAAGTTGCAGTAATTGGTACAATACAGGTGGCAGCTGCAGAGCTGTGGCAATGATTTCAATTACAAGCCTGACTTGTCCCAGAAGGTTGGGAAACAGAGTCTTAGATTTTAATGTTGTAATTTAATCTTTCAGGGAACATTTACTAAGAATGTGCCAATGCATAAGGGCCGTTATACCTGGAATGATGGCAGTGTTTATGAAGGATCAATCCAAGATGGACTTAGGCATGGATATGGAGTTTTCAGGAGTGGTACTCATCCAATTTCTTACACTGGTTATTGGTGCAATGGCAAAAGACATGGAAAGGTCAGTAAGAACTAAATGAGAGCATGGGCTCGGGTGATATCTTCAGGAACAGCAAGTGTTACTGTGCAAAGGTTTTACAGAAATGTTTTGTTCTGTTGCATGGTCTTATGCCATGTAGAGATTTGTTTTTCTTAGGGGTTTTTTCTGAGGTTGTGAATACAGCTAATGCTGTAGACCTACTGTTGAAAGTAAAAGTCTAAATGGGTCAGAAAACCAATCTACCTCAGACTGAGTACTGTAATTAAGATGCCAAGGTTAGCTCTCTCAAAGTATTTCCAAGAGGTTTAAAAGACATGGTAGACTTTGATGTAATGTGGTAGGATTTTTCTTTTGAACACCTGGTGTTTTCTAAGATCTTACCCAATATTAATCAAAAGAGGTTGCTTTTTAAATTTAATTGTATCCCTTCCATTGCTTTCAGTACAGTGAATCAAAGTGACCTTAAGTATTTGGATATGATTACAAGCACCATGTCATTTGTATGTGGTGTTTTATTCATGTAGATGAATATTTTGGTATTTACACTGACTGTGCTCTTTGTTTTAGGGTTTTGTTTATTATGATCAGGAACAGACTTCCTGGTATTCCGGTGATTGGGTAAATAATGTCAGAGAAGGATGGGGATTAAGACGGTAAATATGATAACACTTGTTCTTAGCCTCAACATTTTTTAGTTTTGTGTATTACGTTACAGTTTCTTGCATTGTTTAAAGTGGGTACAAATGCTTTCATTTCATAGTAGTATGTACGTTCTGTAGTGGAATAAAAAATGTACAAAGTGCTTTATGATAACAAAACAGACCTTTAGAAGTTTATTTTTATGTGCAGTATTTCTACTGACCATTCATGCAAAAGAATAGCTAAAGACAAAATCCAAAATCAGCTTTGGTAAACCACAATTCAGTATTGAAGAACAAACACACTCGATTGATTTAAGCAGATGAAGCTGCCTTATGAATAAATAACTAACCTATAGAATGATATAGAAATAAATATTTTTAATAGCTATGGCAAAGACTTTTTGGGAAAAAGAGCTGGTTAATATTTTTTGTGATTTCTAATTTAAAAATAGGAGGTGAACAGTCGCTACAATAAAACCTCTGTGTCCATGTCATAGTGAATCAATTTAATGCTTATATTTAACCTTAATAAATTATAAATTTATTAGCAATGAGGTTTTGCATAAACCTGTCATAAGATCAGCATAGAATTTAGTATGAATTAACTTCTGTTGGTTTTTTGCAGCTACAGATCTGGAAATACCTATGAAGGTCAGTGGAAGAAAAATCTACGACATGGACATGGAAAAATGAGATGGCTGACAGATAATCAAGAGTATGCAGGACAGTGGGAGTGTGGCATGCAGGTATTCATTTCTTCCTCAGAAACTCTTCTTTAGTTCAGCATCTGTCCCCTACTCTGGGAAAGCTAAATAAGGAGTTTTGTGCAATATCAAAGGAGTTTTTTGCGAATTTTTGTACAATTTTTGCCAGTTGAGTTTGCCAGTTGAGATAAAAGAAGCATGTTCTTTATTGTAAATTGATTCTTATGTTAGCAGTATTCAAATTATTAAAGGATTTTAATTTAGTTCTATAAAATCAAAATTTCATTTCCTAATGAAAAATATAAACATTTTTCAATTAAAAAAAAATTAAAGAAGTGTTTGTGACTTAGCTTGAGTTATGACTTCAGCAGTCGGTAGATGTGGCAGTTTATTTCTATGTCGCCTGTAAAATACTAGACCACACTGTTCCATCTTGGAAAAGTTTTATGATGGAAGACAATTCTGTGACATTTTCACTTCTTTTCATTTATTATTTGGTTTCAAAAAGAAGGTGAGTTACTCGCTCTAACTTTTCACTCTACTTAAAATTGTCAAGGAGTCCAGCTTGTGGACCATCCTGGCTCTGTGGCATGGTGTTCCTCACTTGGCTGTTCAGCACTACAGGAGAAGGATTCAGGGAGGAAGGGTGGATATCTTTAGGAGTCCCGTGGTAGAGCTTGCTCAAGTATGTGTTGATGCAGTGCATCCTCTGGGTGCTTCTCCCATGTACCTTTGTAGATGTAATTCTGTCCCTGCTTTGAAGTGCTGCAGCCATCAGCCTGGGGCTTTTATTTCAGAGAATTGCCAAAGTCTGGACCTATTTTTCAAACACACTTTTTTTTTTTTTCCAGCATGGTTCTGGCACTCACAGATGGTTTTCGAATAGAGTAGCAATGTCTCAGTATTCTCTGTGGAATGAATACGTGGGTGATTTTGTGAAAGGGGAGCGCCATGGACATGGGACGTTTATTTATGCTGACGGATCAATGTACTGTGGAGAATGGGTGCATAATAAGAGGCAAGGCAAGGTGAGTATTGTTACAACTACAGACAACAGCAGAGCAGACTATTCTGCTCTGTATAGGGGATCTCTAAATTTCTGTACAGCAAACTACATTCCGTTTGCAGTGTGGGTGGAATCTCCACAGAGTCCAGTGAAAGCAGTAGGAGTCTTTCCAAGGACACTGGCTGACTCTGTGGTTAGATATGTTTTGGCCAGACAAAGACATACATTTCACTGCAGAGATTTTTAGTGCAGTAGGTGCATCTTGAGTTTTGCAGTGGTTGGTCAGAATTTCACACTTTCACTGCGAGCTAATAGATTTCAAGCTGTCTTTGCACAGAGGGGTTCTTAAAACCTCTGATAAAACAGAATTTTGAAAAAACTCTGAGTAGAGTGCCACATATGTAACCTAAGGAGTGCAAAGAGGTCTTCCTATAAGGGGGGAAAATACTTTTCAAGATCAAACAGATATATAGTCAGTCCTTTATCCCAACAATGTACCTATTTAATAAGCAACAAAATGCATTTTAAAAGAGGGTAGGAAAAATTAGTTTTCTGTATTTTATTTCCTATATTGCGTTTTAGCCAATATTCTGAAAAGGAAATTTGACTGAGAGAATTAGTGGTTTTAGTTTTTTTATCTTTGTTTTGTATTTATATTATAATTTATCTGTCTGTAGGGCATCTTTGTCTTCAAGAATGGTCATGCTTTTCAAGGAGAGTTTGTAAATGATCTTCCAGTGAAATGTCCTATTCGTCGAGGGTCTGCTGTTAAAGACAAAAAGCTGAGAGCCACTAGCACAAGAAGGCATTCTGGTACAAAATTAAGTGAGCAGCTTAACAAAACAAATTTTACTCAGTTCACATTTTGTTGTTCCATTTTACTATAATAGGAAACTGTACATACTCAAGGACCAGACATATTTCTTCAAAGAACTTGGATAAAAATGGGAGTCATGGCTTTTGCTTCCATGCTGCGTTTCCTGTATGTGACACTTGGAGTGACACATCCACACCACATCTTATAATGGATGGAACTGTTACCTGAAAGTTTCACAGGTTTTTTAAATGTCTGCATTTCCTTTGGTTAGGGGTTGATGTGAAAAAACCTGCTCTTCAGTTGTTCTGCTGTTGGTTGTGAAATCTCTACTTCTTATTGTGAAGGAATCTATTGTTCCAAGTCAGTAATATAAGAAGGAATAATACACGTTTTGTTTTTCTGTGTTTGTATATATTAAGCTTTGTTTAAGTTTGTTCTATCTTATTTTATTTGCTTGGTAGAAAACACCATAACCCTTAATTACTTGGAAGAGATTTCTGTTCTGGGATCAGATACTGATTTTGATTTATCTTTGCTGCTTGACTTCTTGCCAAGGGAAGACAGAGAGGAAGAAGTAAAACAAGTAAGAGTCTACTGTTTGATACTTTCAGTTTTCCCCTGTATTGTATTTCATACTATTTTATTTCTGATTTATTTGTGTTAGAGTAACTCTTTCCATTAAATAATTATTTGAAAATTTGAAGGCCATGAAAACAGAAAAGCAAAAAGAATTAATAGGCAGTGGAAGCTCTTCTGAGCTTCCACTAAAAAAGACCAATTAAAAATAGGTTAACATATCTGGAAGGGCATTGAGCATCCAGCTTTAGCTGCTCTGAGGTTTGTCTGCTGACAGAGGATGATTTATTTTTATCAGTCACCAAATTCATATATTAAAACTACTTTTGAGTAATGCTTTTGTGAACACTTAGCCAGGGATATGCTCTTCTAAGTTGCAAGGTCAAATAATTATCTGCCCAGTTACAGGATCAATACAAACTGATCTCTTCTTGCTTTGAGATGATGCTGAAAACACCTCCTTCTTTATTTAGGTACAGTTGGCTCTGTTGAGGTATATTTCAGAACTGAGAGAAATCTACTACTTCTACAGTAGATTAGGCTGCAGTCCTTCTCCTGATGGCACGTATGTCATGACTAAACTGCAGTTTTGGAGGTTTCTGAAGGACTGCGAATTTCATCTCTCCAAAACTCTTGCTGAAATGGATCGGCTGCTGAGAGGTTTGTATTCCTCGTGAGCAGGGTCTAGAATGGAGGAATTTTAATAGTAAGCTGTGGAGAGTTAGAGTAGCAAGTTCTCCTGGCAGCTCAGCTCTGGGAGTTAAGTGCTCCTGAGTCAGTACCTCTGTGCCTGTGAGATCTCAGTGGATCAATTTGCACTTCTCTGGGCACTTCTGGTCCTTAGGTGAGAAAATACGAAATTAAAGTACAACATAAAAAATTGCACTCAGGAGCCATCTGTTCAAAATATGTATTCACTCCTGTGAAGTAAGATCTTGCCATTACTGTTTAAGAGAGAGTTTTGAATGAGAAGTAGGAGAAACAAGGTTTTGGGTTTTTTCAGTGTTCTTAGCTTCGGTTTGCGTGTAGTATCTTTTTCTTCCATAGAGCCAGTTAATCAATCAATTCCCTTTAGACCTGCAGAGTCCTTAGTATGTGAAGGGTTTAACTCCCACTTTGAATTCCCTTTTATTTCTATATATGCTGAGTGGATGTATTTCTAGAAAGAGAATTTTTCAAGATCCAGCTAGAGGTGAACAGTTCTCCCTTCACCTTTGTTTGGGAGTGCTGCATTGTCTGGTCTGAGTGTTCCAGGAGTGTTGTTACACTGTGATAGATGCAGAGGATAAGAAAGGCTGACAAATCAATATGCCTATAAGCATTTTAATGTACATGAGAATAGTAGAAATTTGGGTTTTTAAAAATTTTTTAGGTGATAAACCACTTAAGGATATACATCATCCACTGGAGATATTGCTATTCAGAACATTTGTATCCAACCTCGTTCACCTGGCATTTCATATCTATCATGAAGAGTTCAAGTAAGTTTCCTCTTCTCGTGAAATTAATTTCAGTGTAATCAGTTTGAATCTTTCCAGACAAGAGTATTTTTGTTTCAACTGTAGAGACAAAGTTCCTCATCTGCAGAGGTGTTTCTTAGAAATTATGTCCAGGAATGTTCTGCCCTTTGCCTGTTGTGTCCAAGGTAAGCAATGCTATTTCTTATGTATAGAATTCATCAATTAGCATCACATGCATTGCAGTTTTATTGTAACTGTTATTTTTTCCCAATCCATTTTGAAAGGTATCTTATATTCTGGTGAAGAATTCACATCTTTTGTCAGGAGCTACATTGAAAAATGCTGGGAAATACACGGAGATTTTTGTAGACCATGTCCCAGACCTCCATTTGAACCCACGATGAAGCTGAGGCAATTCCTCTGGATGTTGGATGTAATAATCTAATTTTGTTTTGTTTTGTGTGATTAAATGTGCTTTCTTTGTTCAGTTTATATGAGCCTTTTAAAATAGTCCCTATGTCTTCTGCACAGTTGAAAAGGTAGGAGAGAGGTTATTTGTGCAAACTGTCCAAGGAGCAGTAAAGGAACAGTTGTTCTACTGTTATCTACTGTTATTTATGCACTTTTTCAGGATTTTAATTCTAATTTTTTACTTTTGTCAAATCCTAGACAAATGGGTTTAAGGGAATGTAAATATATTTGTTGTCCCCACTGTGTCTCCCTCTGCCCTATCTATAAAATGTATATATGAACATGTCCTATTATTAGAACTCAAAGACTGACAGCTATTGAAATAACATCATAAACCATTTCGAAAATGTATTTACTACAAGAAGAGCATGAGATTCTTTACTAAAATTCAGTAATTTGAGGACAGATCAAGATTACTAGGAAGGTAGAAGATAATTCTCACTGATACACCTGGGGTTTGGGTACTTCACTTTATATATCTGAGTAAATTTTTCATGAAGAAAAAATCAGATGGCAAAATTGTAATTTTTTATATTTTTGTTTCTAAGCTTTCACAAGTTCTTTTGTAACACTGCTTTTGCAGTCTAGGGAAAATTCCCATTGGCTTCAATAGGACTAGAATTTCACTTGGCTGTTAATTACATATGTGGAAGTACCATTTGAAACCACTAGAAATTTTGGCAAAGGCTTGAGAGAGAGGTAGAGTAGGTCCATGTGGGGAATGCCTTAAGTGCAGTTAACATGTAACATTTATTCTTACCCAGGATTTTAAACTTCTCAGTGAACAATTAACTGCTGCAAGAGTTCTGGGAATATTTGTCAAAATTGGTGCCTCTCTACCTGACATCTATGGTGACAACTTGGAGCTGGAGGTGGGTATGGAAAAAACCCATAGTCCATTACTACAGGAACAGTTAAAATTGCTTTTAAAAACTGCTGCAAATGTTGTCCTACCTGCTGGAACAGGAGGAAAAGGAGTTAATTTATTTAAAAAAAATGAGTCCAAACTTGAGCCTCTGTTCTTGTCTTCTTTTGTTCTATTTATATCTTCTAGTTTAGCTCATGTAATTCTGTGTTTTTCTTAATTATCTGATCTTAGCACAGCCTCAGCATACGTGACCATTCAGAAAGGTCCTTAGGAGTGCTGTAATCCATGCAGGGAAATCCCATTTCCAGTGGAGTGATGCTAGTGATGGTTCTGTCCCTGGGAGCTGCCTGACAAAATGGATATGCAGTGATTACAGAGAGATTAATCACTGCACTTCCAGCTTCTCAGGCTGTTAAGGGGGATCAGTAATTAAGATGTGAACCCATTGATCCTGAAAATCTGGTGATCCAAGAAACCTGGTTAGTGACATGTGAGGTGCTGCCACCTCAGTGAGGTCGAGTAGTGACTGTAGAAGACTCTTGTGCTACCTGAGAACCGGCCTAGTATAGAGGATTTTCACCCTTAAAGAAGTAACTCTTAGCAGCAGTGTCTTGTAAATGACATGACTGAATTTGTTTTAAACAGGATATGATAAATTGAACACACAGTGGAAGTCTTACTAAGGAATCCATTATAAACCAAATCTTGGAGTTTCTAGCAGCATCCCAATCAATTAAAATATATTTGAGGTGATAGCTGTAGTCGCAAGTTACTTGTTAGAGAAATTTCTCATAGCTCCAGATAAAACAAAAATCAGTGCAGTGTTTTAGCTTAATATGATTTGTATAAAGTGTAACACATCATATCCTCTCCTGAATTTTTTGAGCTTTGGCTGTTTTCAGTTTTTCTTCAGAAGAAGGGATGTTTGACTAGATAAATGAGGCCAGGGGAACTTCACTACCCCTTCTGAGTTCTTTGCTTGCTCAGGTACATAGGCCTGTTAATGAAGAGATTTTGTAAAAATAAACTAATTTACCACTACATTTGTTTTACTCTAGATGGTTTTTTTGGAATTTTTTGAAGCTCTTCTTGAATGTGCACTGGTGTATGTTACGAAGGATATGATCCTGAAGAAAGAAGCTCAAGATAATCAGAAAAGAAGCAGCTTTGAAATCAGGTTCTCTGAGGAAACCTCAGCTGTGTCTTTCACAGAACATTCTCTGCCCCAGGTAAAGATGATGCAGACCTGTTTAATGTTTTTATGTGTCCACTTAGTAAAGTCAAGCCCTGAAAATGTTCTGTTTCCTGGCCATGGAAATCAATTTCCTCTTTTTGCATAAACAAATACTTGATTGGGTCCTTCTACTTTTTCTATTTGTTGGTACCTTAAACTGTAACATCAGCGTAGACAGTTTCTACATATTTGCACGTTTTCCTAGATAACTGTAAAAACACATAGAGTACTTCTGAAGGGGAACTGACAGATTGGTTGGCTGGTGAAAGATATATCTCTTCTGCATTAAGCTGAATGTCTAAAATTGGCCTGTAAAAATGGTATTGCAGCTGTTGTATGTAGCAGGCCCTGCTGTTTGCCAGCAGTTGAGCTGTCCTCTTATTCTTTTTGCTAAACTTCTGAATAAGGATTTTGTAGGTTGTGAAATGCTGCCTGTGAAACTGGTGCAATTTGTATATACAAAATAGTTGAAGACATGAATTAGAATTATTATTTGGAATTATGCACAAGATGAAAGTATTTTTATTAATACAAAAAGTATTCACAAACATAATTTCACAGCCTCTGTGAGCCAATAGTGCCACTGTACACCACCACTTCCCATTTTTTGGCCACTTGTTCCTACCCTATGCACCCACTCCCTTGCATCACTGCTAGCAGTTACACAGTTGCACAGTGAAGTAGTCCAGTTAAAATAGAAAAAAAAAAAAGAAAAATAAAATCTTAATTTAAAGATACTGAGGGTAAATTTTTTCTTGTCTTACATTTCATTAGTGCACCTACAGCAGAAGTATCATTGATACAGGCATAAATGATGATATTTCCAAGGCAGCTGAGCTGTACACTCAGGAGCAGATGAACAATAGATAAACAATTATGTAGAGCAACATGTAAGAACAGAGGAAAAGGTCAAAGAACAGGAGCTTTCATTTTTCTGTAGTGCTGTAGCTCTGAAATAGGCTAATCCTACTGGGCTGGCTGGTATTGAAGGCAAAGTGTTACCTGGCAATATTTGAAAAGATGAAACACTCCTGCAATTTAAATATTTTGAGATAGGCATGATTGTAGGATGCATTTGGCTGGCAGAATGCTTTGGAGATGGGAATTTGCATGACTCAAAGGGACTTGGGATTTCACTTTGTGATTTGAACACAAGCCCAGACATTTAGTAACTGAATTTAAAACTTCTTGCCAGCCACCAAGACCTCATGACGACACAGAGCCTGCTCATCACCCTTCTCTACTGGGTGAGTACTGTAAAAAGTGGCTATAAAACTGTCAAGTGGCTAGAGGAGAGTCACTTTCTTTGCAGCTTTCAAAACAATTAATCAGGAGCCGGTTGTGGAAACAGGTGACGTATTGCAGCTCCTTTCTGTTTGGCGATTATGACAAAGTTTAGCTTTCCATACCTGCTGTACACAGATAGCTGGGCAAGTTGGAATCTCTCAATTTTCTGTGCTTTTTAATGAGAAGCTATCACTTTTTCCATAAAAGTAACTTTAAAGGCTTTTTAAACCTTAATTCTTCCTGTTCTGTCCCAGTTATGTGGGCATGCAAACAGGAGCTTGAACTCTGCATTGTGCCTTCATTAGAAACAAACTTTTCATCATTTCAGAAGTATTATAACCATCAGTCTGGCTTTCAAGTCAGATGACAATCTGTGTTTGTTTGTGCTGAAGATCAAACTTGGAATTTCATGCAAAGGATTAAAGGCTGAGTGATTTAATTTTCTTTCTTTGCAATATCAGAAACTCTTCTCTCATTTTCTGTAACTCCTGGAGAAAGCAAAGATGATGTGTCATTGCCCAACGAGGATGTAAAAGAAGAACAAGATTCCTGTCCAGAAAACGAATTGACAGGTAAAACTGTCCCACTCTTTTAGGACTTAACACACGCACACAAATCTCTTGTAGCTCTTAAATTGTGAAGTTTTAATTGTATAGGCAGATTTCAGCTTGTCACAAGAGGGCAGTAAATGAGCATTAATTCTGGAGGAAATTTTTTAAAAAACTTAAAATATTTTTTAAAAGAAAGTAAAACTTTGTGATTAAATGAGACATTTAAGTACCAGCTTACATACTTTCCCCAGTTTTAAAATGCTACATTTTATTTGTAGGATATGTGTAACCTGTAATTTGTATTTACTCTATGAGAAGCTCAAGCTGCAAGCCTGTCCGTGGAGTGTCTTGGACAAATAAAATGTATTACTGCCATGTCCTGCTTTTTCTACTTAAAATAAGAATTATTATTAGTGGTATGCCACCACTAGCTGGGATAAGATGCCTTATGTTGGGACAGGCCAACATTCAGGCAAAAGAGATCTCAGTAAGAGCCCTTTGGTACATTGAGGATTGTAGTTTTTTGTACCATCTTCCTTCCAGCTGATTAGCAGATCTCATCTGGGTTGCTTTTTAGTTTGTTAAATGTTTTCTGCTGCTACAGAACTTAAATCCGAGGAGAGATGTTGACAAGGATCTTTGTGCAGTCATCAGCTCTTTTGCTGAGATCTGATGGCTGAAAAGTTACACGTCTGAAAAACTGTTTGTTCCATCACCTGGGCCTGGCCTGTTCCCTGACATGACAAGGGACACTGGCACGCACCTGTGTCCTTTCAGGTGGTAATGTTTGTCCCGCCCTTCCCCCGTGCCCAGGAGTCACAGATACTGAACTGTCATCAGGTTACTGCAGAAGACTCTTACCACAGGATTAAAGGGAGGAGTTCGTTGTCTTTTTGTGCCATTCCCAGGGCCAAGTCCCTGAAGCTTCACAAAAGGGCCACCCCCTTTCAGTTCAAAGTATCTCACACCTTTCTTCTTCTGTACCATGCAGAAGCCGAACTTTCCCTTTGCAGAGTATCAGAGCTGAAATATTGTAGTCCAAATCACATTTGAAATAGAAGTGCCCTGCTAAATAAATATGTTTAATTTACATGTTGCAGATGAAGCACAAGAAGATGAACAAAAGGAGCTATTTAGTTTCTGGATATGTAAAGTGGAAACCTTTTTCACAACAAAGTTCTTCCCTGCTTTTGAGCATGAAATAGTGCTGAGGGATAAAAGAAAAGAAATGAAAAAGCAGGATGCTGAATTAGCTGGGCTGAGAAAGACCCAGGCTGAGGAGCTGAAAAGGTGAGTGTTGAATCTTGTCTGGCAGTACTCTTATCTTCTGCTAACAAAATCATTGAAAACAAGAAGTGTGTTTAAGAAGGTAGTACAGCATACTGTACCTGGAAAACAAACTCACACAGGTTTCATTAGTAACCTACAGAATGGAACTCATGTGCTTTCTGTTACTGGCTGGAGTAACAAAGGCTACTTTCAGGTTGCAAACTCTTAGCTCTAGTATTTCCTGGCACTTGGGTCCTGCTCTGTGTAAAGGCAGTTTAGACATATTTGGACTTGAGGGGGTAATTAGAGACTTTCTGCTTCTCTATGCTGTGGCAGTTTATACTACTTATACTATGACTAGAGCTGGAGCTGCTTAGCCAGTAGAAATCTGTCTCCCTCCTCTTACAGTACCTTAAATTCAAATTTTGTTCATGCAGACTTATTGCTGAAATAGAAGTACAAGAGAAGGCAAAAAGGCAAGAAGCAGCTGAAGCACAAACAGCACTTGCCTTGTAGAGTGCAGTGTTAAGAAAGGAGTGTCAAGCCCAGGAGAGGAGCCTTGTCAAAGAAAGATGCATCCTGGAGAGAGTCCTCTCTTGGAGAGGTCTCTAGCTGAAGAAAGAGGCCCCCAGGAGAGAACCCTCACCAAAGAAAAGAGGCCCAGAAGTCAGCACAGAGCCTGAGAATGAAGAGACAGAGAAGGCAGCACCCACAAGTAGCAAGGCACCTGCTGACGAAAAAAAAAAAAATCCTCTGCTGGCAACTGCTGAAGCTTCAACCAAGTACTCTTAAAATAAGGGAAAAAAAAGAAACCCCAAACCAAAACAAACCCAGAAGACCCATTCTTGTAGGAAGCTGTAGGAATGGTCAACTGTACACACAAGAATTGCTGATTTCAGAGGGAACAGTCTTCTACTGGGCTTTGGGTAAACAAGCAGAAATTTACATGATGCAAATGAACACAGATGCTCCTAAAGTGTAACAATTATTAGTTTTATTTTTCAGCAAAATATTCACATAACATATCAGAATGGAATGGTACAGGTGAATTCAGACTGGCTTTTAATTAGTTTGCACATAAACATTTTTAAAATTTAAAAATTTTATGGTCAGAGTTTACAGGTTTTAGTAGAAATTTTGATTCTTACAAAGCAAGTATTGCTTTACTATTGTCATTATTCCAGTCAATAATATGACTAATAACTTCTTATGTTGAACAAGTGCCTGACATTGATATCTTCAATAAATCAGCCCTTTGCAGATCAATCCAAGAAGAAAATATTATTAAACTGTGTTGCACAAAGTTTCTTCACTTCTTCTGTTAAAAAAAAAAAAAAGCAAGCTACATCAGTACTGTATTTTACAGAGAAAATACAAGAGAAACCCTGGGGATTGTCATGGAGAATATAATTAAATTCAATCAGAAGAACCCTGAAGAGTTTCTAATGTAGAAATACACTTAATATTACTCTGTCCTCAGTAGGAGAGTGTCAAGTCTGATGTCTCCCACTGTCTGAAAGGTGAGTTGTGTCTAAGTGGCTGAAATGATGGGCCTCTCATCAAACACCTCAACAGCAGCAGACTTGGCTTAACATATAGTTAAGGGAAATATATTATAACCTCTTTTTCAGAGAAAAATTAGGATATTCTGTTACAGTAAATCAAGTCTGCAAAACTTTGGCTTTGTGTTATTTGGTAGACTACACTTCCTAAGTTTATCAGGCATAGAAACATTCATTTTCTGTTTCTGTATGGTAGGTTTGATGCTGAAAGACAGTTACAGATAGATTGCCAAGTTACACAACTCATTCCTCTTGTTAAAATGTAAGTTGCTAGGCTTTGGTCCTGGCAAAGTATTAATTCTTTCCCATTGTGTAAGTGAGCACATTGGCTCCTGTTAAAATGGGGAGCCCTAGAATTGCTGCAAGATTCAAACAGATTTTTAGAGAAATAGCAATGTAAAAGCTTATTGCATCTTAATGTTAATTCTCACTCTTAGTCATAGTAACTCATTCTCAAAACCACATTAGAAACGAGACAGCAATGGATGAGGGACTGACAGGACAGCCACAATGTGTAAGTAACTAACCCTGGATCACAAATGAAAACTCAGATATAAATGTATTCATCTCTCATCTGTAATACACTTTTAAAATTACTCCTAAACTAAGCTCACAGTGCTCTCCTCTATTATTTGAAGGAGGAGGAATGACTGATTAATAATTAAAAATGCCTGCTGAATATTTATGCTGCCCTTTCACAGCTAGTAGTAGGCAGACTAAAACCTCAGGCAAACTCACCTGCTCTATCAAAGATCAGTCCCTCTCTAGATTTCTCATGAGATGGGTTTTATTACTTCTCTAGGGACATATTTTAGGAGTAACTGTATTAAAAGGTAATAAGAAACAATGCTTACCATTAACTTCAATCAGATTTACATTTTTTTGATTCAAAATAACATACAGTTCTCTCTGGTCAGACTTTTTCCCAACTACCCAGTAATCACTCATTGCTTTCACAATAATTTCCTCGTCTTCATCAACTCTGAAAGAAGTTTTAAAAAGTAAAGAAGGTGGCAGCAAGTTAATCTTCAACGACTTTATCTGTAATCATTAGGACAGCAAAATATCAGAAATTGTTGTTGTGCAGCACCAAAGAAAACATCAGTCCTAACTTGGCTATCATTCAGTCCAGGTCGAAGACTTCATAAATGGCTGCTTAGAACATGCCCAAGTGTGTCAATCAGTAATTTTTTCATTAGCCAAACACTGCAGTGCTCTGAAGAAAACACCTCTCCTCCATTCTGGTAAGGACACATTTCACAGAATGAGGATTTGCTACAGTGACCAAATACTGAAAGCTGGAGATGGGTTGGTGATACTAAGCTTTCACAGAACTGTTAAACCTAGACCTAAACTATGCTCAGCAACTGGATATATTCTGTAAAGCTGTCACTAACCCAGTACTTCCATAATATGATGAAACACACTTTTTTCATTGATAGAAAATTGGAAACCTTGTCCTTAAGCAGAGTCAGAAATAGCTTGTTGCTAATTAGAGTTAGGGGCATCGCAATCATTCAGCATTGTCATTGTTCTGTCTTAATGTTTGTTGTGACAGAGATCTCTCCCACCTTGTAGCATGGTACCCATTGATAAGAAGCCACTTAGCTTCTCCCTCAGCAGGACTGCAGTAACTGCAAGGTTTGCTTTCCATCCGTGGTCTCAGCCCTAGAAGCCACCAGCTGTGTTGGGGCAGGTATGGCACAGGCAGAAGGTGTACCTGTCCTTTACACTACTTTCCCCAGAATTTTGTGCTTCCCATCCCATTTATTATGACTGTTCTGAAGCCTCCAATAGATGAGAGATTTTCTTTGATAAAGGCCTTGGCCCTCTTTTAATTTTTTGTTTAAAAAGACACTAGAAGTTTTTTTTAAGATGGACTACTTCTAGACCAACACAAAATACCAAACATGAACAGCCAGCCATCAACAAAAAGACTGGAAAGGGCCACTCCTTTGCAAAAATAAAAAAGTCTGCTTGACAGTAGGAATTACAGACTATTTAAGAGTTTAGCATTACCTGGAGAAGTCACTGTTGATGTCACCGAGAATCTTCATGAGGTCAGGGTGAACAGATGCAAGTGATACACTGGGTGTTTTCCTCATGTGAATGGTACTTTTCTCTGCCAGGTTCATGTGATTGAAATAGATAAACTTAAACTGAGGCTCCTTCTCAGCCCTAGGAAGATTTAAAAAAAAAAAAAGTGCTTTGTAATACCAACATGCTTTATAAGAACAGGTTTCCCAGAGATTGGGTAGTCAGCCAGTGCAAAGTTAACTTAGATAGCCTGGACTTAGCTTCACATTGAAGAGACTTGTGGGATTGAAATTCACTTTAACACACTAAAAAAAAACAAAAGACAACTGAGCCTGCAGAACCAGCCAGTGTTTCCCCTTCTGCCACTCAGGCTGCCAGTAAACACACACAGGGGAGTCTGAAGGCCTTGTCCCACTTCACAGTAGTAATTAATTTGCATTTTTCTAATGAGCTGGTTTTTTTCTGGTCCTATTTTGTTCCTGCTGCTCTCCCCTCTGCCAGTCCAAGCTTATTTGAATGGATCCTGGGTCTTTAATTTGAGCAATAATTCATCTTCTATTCATGTCTTTGTTATTTGTTACAACCAAGAGAACAAACTCATCCTTGATCCAGGCAATTAGATTTCTTCCCCATCATTTGTGTGGGCCAAGCAAGAGACTATTTTCAAACTCCTGCCTTGGCAGTCTTCCTCCATTTCCTCTTTTATGAAGCTAATATAAAAACTTAGAGCTGTAATTTTTTGTAGAAGTCAGGACAAATTCAGACTGACCAAAAACTGGCTGCAGCAACTGGTACTTTGCAATGCATTATTTAGAACCAGGAGATACTGTGATGACACCACTCGCCTTAGCCAACAACCAGATACCCCTGCTCTCTGTCACCCACATGCATTAGTGTCAAGGAACTGTATCATGTTTTCAGGACACCATGACATTAAACTTTTAAAGAGTTAAAGCTGCCAAAGCCAGTCCCAGATGACATTTAAAAACCCCAAGTTTAATGATTTAGTAGATTGGCACCATTTCAAGCACATCCTATTCCATCCTGTGTGATTTTGCTGATTTGGGATGGTACCACTGACTGAATTCACTCACACACCTATCTTTGGTTGAATTCCTTTTATGTTGCCATATGGGATACCGTTCTTGCTTCCTCAATTAATAAATATATTAAAAAAAATGCAATTTTATTGCAAGTAAGCTGTATTTCTAAGTGAATTGTATTTTCCAAAGCATTAGCATCCTTTTTCTTTTGACTGTTTTTTGCCCCCTCAAGTAACTACCTTAGTCCTGCAAAATAGAAAAATAAAGGACCTTTTTTCCTTCACCTACTATACATAGTACACATAGCAACACTTCAAGAAGCAGTAATTCTGGAAAGTCCTCAACTGTAAAGCTTCTGCTGTATCCAAATAACTCCCCCATTTCAGCCAGACAATAAACATCTGTTCCTAAATTAGTAACATCTATTGTTATTCAGGGAGATCCAAATATGCAATAACATGCACTTTATAAACACTTCAGATGCAGAAAAGTAGACAAGCATTGTTTTAAGTATACACCATTAATGCTTTCAAAATTTGGGCTCATGTTACCATTATTTAAGCAGTTCATTTAACCTAACTTTTCACTAACTAATGAGGGAATGCAGCAGGAAAAGAAGTGTGGTACAAACCCTGATATTCTCTTGTTGATGTTGTATTGTTCACATATGTCTGATGCCAACACCGTGAGCTGAGGCCCAACAATGCTGTCCAGTTTTCTGCAAAACTCCAGTGTGGGTGGAATTGAAGCTGTGTCAGGCAGAGAAAAGGGAGATGTGAGATTCTCTTCCCACAGCTGAAGGTAAAGTTTCTGTAGTTGTTTTCTTTAAACATCAGCAAGAGTCCAAGGACAAATCTCTCCCATAATTAAAATCTCAGGGGTGATTGGAATGTGGTTAACTGAAGCAGTATTTAGTAATTTCATTGTGCAAAATGAGTTACTTGTACCACTGGAACAAAGATAAAAGACTGATAAAAGCACTCATGAAAAAGAGACTCAAATAAATTAACATGAGTATTTTTCGAGAGTAAACAAGCTGCATATTAAAGTATTTTACATATAAAAGTCTTGCCAATAATTGATGCTAATAGGTACTTACCATCAATCATAAAGCAGACAGCTGCACTCATGGCCTGGAACAAAACAAAAGCAAAAAAAAATATTTACAACAGATTACTTTAACTAACTCAAATAAATGACAGTGCTTCAGTGAGGCCACACACAGGTGAGAAGAGATTTAAAAGAGATCTTTTTTAGAAGTAGCACTTCAATAGGATAACCATTCTGCAG